TTTTGTATTCATTCGTTCGTTTGTTTGTCCAAATCACAACAAAATGACTAAAAATTCATTGAAAACAGTTATTCACAGAAACATTTGTTTTCTCATTAAGAAAACCACAAACACACGTTTGACCAGCTATTTGACTTAATTGACACCAATTATTGTCGCACAGAGAAAAGCCACAACAATACGACGATGATGACAACAATAATAACAGTCAAATCCGTACACAATTGAATGTTTTGCAAATAAAATGGCAATATTTTGTCATTCACCTCTGGAGTATTTCGTTTTACCGCTTATTTATGTACATTGAATATGGCACGTTCGCTCTATTTCCTAGATTCTTTCGCGATATTTTCGTCGTAGAGGTTTTTTGACGTTAATTTTGGACAGGTTTATTCCCAGTAACCATCGGAAACACTGAACTTAAATAACGATGATTCAAATAGAAATGTTTCGACAAAAACAAGTAACGCGTTGTGATTGTTAGTATGAAGTCAGCGATTATATTATTATACACAAGCACAAAAATTTTGCCTGCAGAAAATTTGTCACTAGCAACGCCAACAGTTTTACTGTCGAATTCATTTATTCCGCAAATGATTAAGGTCACTCACTATTCGATCGATGCGACGTTTATTGACGATTTCACTTTGGCTCAATTCAATGAAATCTATACAACTTGTTGCACTTGCCTACCGACTCTATGGTGACGGGTTTTATTTTCACTAAAAATAACGAATTTATTTTCTTGTTTACCTTCACAATAACGAAAATTTATTGAAAATTTCACAAAATATTAGATTGAATATTGTTTCTAATTCAAAAACTATCGAATTTATCTGCTAGAATCGTTTGGCATCGAGATAAACACACGAAAATACGACACCAATGTAAATGTGTGTCTCTTTCGATAAACAACTATTTTGAAAATATGTATTGCTGTTGTTTCGACCGCTCTTACAGGCTATGTTATTCGGAATTGCTTTGTGCTTTCATTCGAGATGCGGCGTTGAATAGCGTATCGCATGTGATATCGTCGTCGTCACGCAGCATTCGCTCATTTCGGGATGTTGTGGTAAACGTCGATTTCTTGCGTTTTTCTCCGATATTCACGACAGTATATAAAAAAGAAGCCGCTTAACCGAATGCCGTCATCTTATTTTACAGACCGCGTTTCAATGTGTTTGTGTTAGACTTTCTATGTACGGTCGATTTTCATGGCTACACACAACCCGAGAGTGGATGGTATTGTCGTGCCATTTTAAGAAGGAGAAACAACATAAACGAAAATATCACAAGAAATATGAAACCAGCGCTCCGCAACTCAATACGGCATACACATGGGTTATGTATCTTATATATTGACAAAGGCACCAATACAGAGAAAGAGAAAAACCTGAGACTGGTTTCGTGTACGCTGAGGAACTTGTGGTATCCGCATCGATCTTTCGAAACGGTGATAATGAAAACCGCGCTCAACAATCGCAAATACTGTGTGATCCAAGCCACATTGTTTATTTCATGCGGCAAGCGCTTGCGATCCGCCGCATCGGTGCAACGTTTTCAGTTTGATCGTTGATCGTTAGCCTCTCACAGATGCAAGAAAACGTTCAGTTTTGAATTTGAGTATAAATTCAATGCGTTACTTATTGGAATGAATGCAAAACAACGCACACTGTTTACCGCAGCCAAACAAAGAACCAATTTTTTTTAAGTGGAGATTGTATTGGTAGGCATTATTCGAAGAAATAATGTGCCCGAAATAATGCACGTAATAGAAAATACCTTCGGCGGAGGAGTTTTAACGATCATTCGTTGATTTTCTTCACCCATCCTAAGTTTTCAGTGAAATTTGAAAAAGCTTTTAATCTTTTTTTTACTCTATTTATTTTCCAACAAATTATGGCTATAACTTCTTATTATCACATCAAAAAGTATTACAATCAGTTGATATTTTTTCTTTGTTCTCCAGACGTTTGCTGTTTCATTCGTGGAATTATTGTAGATACGGAATAATATATTTACATTTTCCATGTGCATCGGTATATTGGTACACGTCTTTAGAGTAATGAATTAGTATTTTATCATCAAAATTCTCTACGCAATCTCCGCAGTTCAAGAAATAATTCTGTTCAATGAAATAATGAATAAATCAATCGTGTGCTAGAATCAGAGACAACATGACGTTGATGTGTTGAAGTGTACTGCGGAGAAATAGTTGGTAAGAAAAACCGACATCCATTGACTGAAATGAGCGCACGCTTGATGTTTAATGCAGGAAGTCAGTTGATTGCAAATCACATTTCAGACAAACATTTTATTCTATTGGGTCTGGGAATTAATCGTGTCGATTTTTCAAAAGATGGCGTAACTTTGCATGGTTGTATCGGGCAATACTTTTTTCTTTTTCACATGAGTGGTCTAGTGTCAAACTACAAAAATCATCATCTATCATTTCATCGAAGTTTGGATAAACATTTTTTTTGCGCCTTAAATATGTCAAATTTTGTACCGAAAAAGCAACATTTCCCGCAAGCATTAATTTTTTGCTTTCATTTGAAGAAAACTGCGGCTGAAGCGCATCGAATGTTGGTGGAAGCCTATGGTGAGCATGCTCCATCGGAACGTACATGTGAACGGTGGTTTTCACGGTTCAAAAGTGGTGATTTTAGCACGGAAGACAAGGAACGTCCCGGCCAGCCAAAAAAGTTTGAAGATGCGAAATTGGAGGCATTGCTCGATGAAGATTCGAGTCAAACTCAAGATGAGCTTGCCAGAGCATTGAATGTTGACCGAAGCACTGTTGGATATCGTTTAAGGGCCCTTGGTTTCATTCGCAAGTTGTCAAATTGGGTACCACATGCTTTGACGCCAGCGCAAGCTGAAAGGCGTTTAGTGACTTGCGAAATGCTGCTCGCAAGGCACAAAAAAAGAGGTTTTCTGTATCGAATTGTCACTGGTGACGAAAAATGGATTCATTACGATAACCCCAAGCGCAAAGCATCGTACGTTAAGCCCGGCCAACCAGCAACATCACAGCCAAAACAAGAAATTCACGGCGACAAGGTAATGCTGTCTATTTGGTGGGATGAGGAGGGAGTGGTGTATTATGAGCTGCTGAGAAGTGGTCAAACCATCGATGGGCCTTTCTACCGACAACAATTGATACGTTTGAAACAAGCAATCAAAGAAAAACGCACGAAATGGGAGACCAGAAAAGAGACATTGATTTTCCTACATGACAATGCTCGGCCACACATTGAGAAATCGGTCAAAAACTACTTGGAAAATAGCGGATGGGAAGTTTTGGCTCACGCCCCGTATAGCCCAGACCTGGCTCCTTCCGACTACCATTTGTTTCGATCGATGCAAAACCATATGGACGGAGAGCGGTTCTCTTCAGTTGAAGAAATCCAAAATTGGCTCGATGCATTTATAGCCTCAAAAGATGAGGAATTTTTTAAGGCGGGCATCCGTCAATTGCCCACATTGTGGCAGAAGGTCATCGCTTCCGATGGACAATATTTTGATTGAAATGTAATTTCATTTTGGTATTCAAATAAATGTTTGAAAATTTAAAACAATCGACAAAACTAATTCCCAGACCCAATACGTGACTTAATTCTTTGATCCATTGTATGGCTTTTTACTTTAGTCGTTTATAAGAGTAAAAATGAAAAAAGTCTTTCAGCATTGTCGTTGTCGCTTTGTCCTTTTTGTTGGCTTTTTCTGATGAGTTCAGAAGAACTACGGAATCCTTTTTTATCACTCAATTCCTCACTTGAAATTCTCTTCTGCCGATTTTTCATCAAACGATAAAATTATCAGCAAACAATCCTCTTCGACCACTTATGTCATTTCATTGTCGATCTAAACATAAACATTCTTTTCGATAATTTAATTGGAATTCTTTTAGCTTAACATCGGATTAGTTCATCAATTATAGGATTCACTTGGTTTCGCCAAAACTGAATAAAATAATGTTGTTTGCCCTTAAGAGTACTATACCTTTGTAGAATGAATCACCTTGGAAAGTAATTTTTGTTCTTATCATTGTAATTGGGGTTAACCTCGGCTTCCGGATCGCTTTCCTCGTTCATACCAATTTTTTTTTGGGTAACATTTCCATTTTTTTCATATTTTGGTTCTGTTTCTGAAAACAAAGGATCACATTTTAATGAGTACTTACTAGGAAGGGTCGATTTAACAACTTTACAGATATTAAAGAGTTATCAAATCTGGTATTGACCTCGAGCTCCCAATTTATTATCTTTCCAAGGTAAGGGACTAAAAATGAGATTTCATTCTTTATCTTATCCATATTATCCGACAGAAAATGAAATACACACCGTGAAAATGTAACCACGGTACAGCATAAAATTATCGCACATAATTTGCGATCCTACGGAAACGACAAAATTTCCTAAGGATGTGAATAGAAATCACAAATTAGAAAATAGGAAAGAAACATATTATACTTTTCGAGAATGTTTGCTGGTTCAATCGATATTTTTTCGGTACATATCAGTTTGATGTATGATTGCATAAAACATGGGCGGAAAATTGTTCAATTTTCTCGCCACGAGCTTACCCGTGTAAACGTCCAAAATCTCAGTCGTTATTTCCGAAAATGATTTTAGAATTGGATGCTAAATCACGCATCACCGCCCACTCCACGTAAGCTACTTACCTTTGTCACGCGTCATTCTTTCGTTTTAAATCATTTTTTACGGCTATGCAATATCGTCACATTTCAATTTCCAATATTTTGTTTACTACTGGCTACACGCATCCTACGACAATCGACAAAAACAAAGATACATTTCTATTCATTTAGTGATTTTTCTGGTTATTTCGCTATTTTTTGGATTTCAATTTCTTTATGTTCTTTGACCAAATTTCGATGCAGCCCACGACCAGTTTAGTGTTGTTGGACACCGATATATTAAAATCAGATGCGATTCGGAACGCTTGAATAAAGACCATATGAAGAACGTCGATGATAATGCTAATGCTAAAATGATGAGTTTATTTTCAGACCAATCACATTTTTTACTACTCGGAACATTTTCGACGGATCTTATGTAATAAATTGAGACATTTTTGAAGCATGAATTAGCTATTAAAAACCAAGTTTTATCTCCAAAATGTACTTATAACGATAATAATAATCACATAACTTCTGTGGCTGTTCATATTCATTTAAGTTATTTCCGCAAAAACGGATCATTGAACACATTGATCAGGCGCTTTGCTTTGCGTGGGCCTAGACCAGAGCACATGGCCAAGTTTTCTTCGTTTGATAAGATGACATTTTTCAGAGATCCATAATTTTGAAGCAATGTCATCGCATCCGTTTTGTTTACCGGCTTGATATTGGTTAAAGCTGTGACCAACTGTGAAATTGACACAAGAAAATGAAGTTAGTGAAATTCGCAAAAAGTATGGCAAACGTCTCAAACATATGATACCTTTTGATGTGGAAATTGTTGTGCCCGTGCCATGATTAGGTCGGGTGGCTTATTTTCAAATATTTTGTACGTTTCGACAATTTTGCCAGCCTCCTCTGGGTTCCATGCAAGCATCAGTGTTAAATCGGCCAACAAACACATTTGAGTCAAGTTTTTCAACGCGTTATTCGGATCCTGAAGAAGATTTAGTCGTATTTATAAAATACAATATTAAACAAAAATAAATCAATTGGCACACAAGTACAACCCACCTTTGTATCAACCTGTACGAGCAGTACACGAAGTTCATACCGTTTTCCCAGTTCTTTCAACCGATTGTGAATGTAGTCGGGATTGAGTGAATGATACCGAAGTGACAAGAAGAGAATGCAACTGGTTGTGCCTACTACATAATCTGGGATGATTGAGTCATCGAATTCCCACGGAACATTTGTGACGGACTTGAGAATTGGGTTGCCTATTGAAGAAATTCAAATAAAGTTGACAATTATTTCCAAATCAAATAGCATTAAAATGAAATTGAATAGTTTGGTGGTGGCATTATTGAGTACCTCTCTGTTTTGGATTCACTAACACGCAGTTGGTTTTGCCAGCACTGATTGGAATATTCACAACCTTCTCTGTTTGTTGCTGACCCGAAGAAGATGTGGATGCTTCGTCGGGCATTTTAAAATTGGCCAAGAGACTGTCCGATACCCCGTCATCATTGTCGATGGAAAATTTCAGTGTTTTCGCCTCACTCGATACCTTTGGTTTGAATGACGCAGTATTTGTTGGATCTTCAATTGTTGCCAAAATATCATCGAATGAATCATTCTCCATACTGTTGCTAAATCTACTCATTTTCTGTTATTACTTTTCAAAGAAAGATATTCGAAAAATTCTTGTAACGAAATGATGCGAAATTCGCTAACCAAACGTTGTATACAACTGAACTGTCATGTAAATGTCACATATATGTGAATTCACCTCACCACAACCATTTTCAACTGTCATTCTAATATTTACAAAAACCTTAGAGAATGGAATGTTTACGCGCCGCATTAATAAGCAAAGTATTGAATTGAGATGCGAAAACAGTTGTGGTTCAAATATATTTCTGCTGGGAAAACACACGTGTATCTGTTTTTAACCTTGACAAAAATTGCTTATTCTGTCCTGTTGGCATTAATGAGAAGGCATTCACAAATTAAGTTGTTCCTTGTTTTGATCTCTAACGTTTTATCTTATCACATAAAATATGTTTAGCTTCATCCGATGGATGTACAGGCGAATTTTCATCCTAGTTGTACTGTTTGTACATAATTTTTTTGAATTCGTAAATACATCGATTTTAGACGGTGAGTTTAAGTTCGCTCGTTTTTCTATATTTTCAAGTTCGTTCAATCTTGTATCAGATTCATAATCTTGATTTTATCAAGTTCTTTGACCAATTTCAAATTACTTAGAAATGCATTCGAATTGCATGTTGTGGGAAGTTTTTATCTATATCCATTATTGCATACTCTATTATTTCTTTATCAGCACTTGGTATTGACCGACTCAATGTCGTGTCGTGTGCAACCGCAAGCATCCTAATACATACTACATAGATCAGGTTAAAAAGGGCTATTTATGCCTTAATGCTTCCTAATTCAATGTGCATTCATTGCAAAGTGTTCAATCAATTTACATCACTTAACGGAATATTCTTTAATTTATTCGAAATGTTTCCAGATCATTCGCATTGGCTACAGGAATGTGCACCATTTCGTACAAATCAACAATTGCTCGATTACACGTGTAAGCCGTTTAGTTGGAATAGCTTAGTCGAACCGTGTGTGACACGATGTAACGCACGAAAGTATGGGGAGCATTTTGAACATATTCAGGAAAATGTTCAGAACATTACGGAGCCCAATGAGAGAACTCGACCGAAAGTATTGGTGTGCCATGACATGGCTGGAAACTATCGCGGCGATCGGTATACAACGAATCATTATTACGAAAATCGTGTAAAATTTTTGCAAATATTCACATATTTTCGTTTCGTATTACCAGGTTCCTTCATGGTTCGAGAAAGTACGACGACTATCGCTTTTATCACTGGGCTGGCATCGACTTGTTCAATTATTTCAGCCACAACTACATCACCATACCACCTTTGTGTTGGATCAATGCAGGCCACCGGAATGGGGTACACAAACATGTTGACAAAAATAAACTTATAATAATTTTTCTATGGAATTTTTGCAGGTACAAGTTCTCGGAACGATAATTATCGAGTTTGATGAAGCGAAGAAAATTCTCGATGAATTGCTGCACTCAAGACAAGATCTGTATCGATTCGCTGAGGCATTTGTGCTTGTCACCAAAAACTTTGGGTTCGATGGATGGCTTTTGAACATAGAATGTGGCATCGCTGCAGACCAAGTGCCAAAACTAAAAGAATTTGTGCGCCAATTGACCAAGCGTATTCACGAAGAAATTCCCAATGGGGTGGTCATTTGGTATGACAGTGTGATTGAATCAGGGTCGTTGAGATGGCAAAATGAAGTAAATGAAGAAAATATTGACATGTATCAAGGCACCGATGGCATTCTACTGAATTATTGGTGGAGCCGACAACATTTGGAACGAACTGTCAATATTTTGAGGAATGATCCAGAAGAACTGGCAAAGGTCTTCGTTGGTATCGATGTATTTGGTCGTGGCCAATCAGGTGGATTCCATACACATGAGGTAGAATCAGTTCACCGTAGCATTAACTACCTTGGCGAGCATTTTCAAGGTATTCATAAATTTTTCCAATTTTTTTTCCAGACCCTGCGTCCAATCAAAGATTACAATTTATCAATTGGAATTTTTGCTCCCGGTTGGACGTTTGAGAATATGCCAGATGAGCACCCAATGCGTGCTGAAGGTACCGATAACATCAATACAAAATTCCTTAAACGCAATACTCGATTTTGGTCGTTGCTTTGGACACAGCTCTACTCACGTGGACCAAACACCTTGCCATTCTACACCTCATTCTGTTTAGGTTCCGGCAAAAAACAGTATCGAAATGGTCTTCAAATTGGCAATGAACCATGGTTCAATTTGCTGGAGCAACAATATCAACCTTCAGTGCCTTCTCACTTTGAGTATCAATTTGAAGAGGCTTATCATGGTGGATCTTGCATCAAATTCGTTGAAACCGTCCGCAACATTCGACTGTTTGCAACCGATTTTTCATTGAAAGACAATCTGATTGCATCGTTTGTGTTCAAACGATCCGACCCAGCAATCGATATTCAGCTTGTATTGAATGTTCAAAATGGAAAAGGTGATCAAAGCCTTTTGGTCTACTGCAACAGTGATATACGTAACAAATTAAATGCCATACTGAAGCCGTGTGAACGACATGTAAATCCATTGAGAAGAAACCTTCTGAAATACACCGTAGTTGGCCTGAGTAATCGACACGAAAAAATATTCCCATCCAGCAATCGAGCAATAAATGGGTGGGAGACTCGTTACTACTACTTGAACTTCGATGGCATTGCCAAACTTGGCCGAATCGTTGATATCGGTGTATCAATTAATAAAGAGAATAATTGGAACGAAAATGACTCGGTTCTATTGGGCGCACTGCACATTCATTGCGGAATCAAAGACGAAGAACGAATCACTGCCGAACTCGATCCAATTTCATTCAATGAAAATGGTGGATTCAAAGAGCTCAACATGTAAGGTATCAAATCAAACGATACACCCTTTCCGAAAAAGTCACAAAAGAAAGTTACCAAAACCAACTTTTAATTTACTAGAAATTGCTTTAAAAGCTAAACTGTATTTAAATTTCATAAAAGACACTTTGATGTAACGTCATTGAATATATGTGTACAACTAAGAAGATATTTTATTGGAACGTGCATAAAAACCCCGATAACATCAAAGCATTTACCTTATATGCCGTGTAAAATAATATGATCCATGTACAAACGACATCGGCGATGTCAAAATTTTGTTGAGTGTATACAGCAACTCAAAATAGCTCGAAGGATAACATAATAGTTGGCATTGATAATAATGCAAACATTTTGACAATAATGAATCTTTATTGGTTGTTTTAGTTTGAAATTTTTGTAGGTTTTTGCTCCTCTTGACATAATACCGGTGAATTTTCAGAATAGATTATCGTTTCCGATCGCGGAACCGGTCTCGATGATCATCTCGATGACCCCTGTTTGAATAACGATTTTCCCTACTACGGTCTCTATCTCTCCGCTCTCGGTCCCTGTATTCCCGGTGTTTGTCGGATGATGAATGATGTTTTTTGTCTCCATTGTCCCTGTAATGAAAAAAATTAGAGATAATGAGTAAGTGAGTAAATTTTTAATGCACCATTTTTGGTCTTCCCTTCTCTCCCAAACTAAAAAGATGGATTACACAGAATATTTTCCTTACCTAGACTTCTTTCCCTTATGCTTTTCATTTGTTCTGCTACGAGAGCGAGATCTGTTCCGCATTTTTTTCCGTCTATCGTTGGGTGATCGGGAATTGGACTTTGAACGGGAGGACCTTGACGGAGACCTTCTTCCACCTTGTTGATCTCGTGACAATCTTGAAGTCGTTTTTGTATTGTCGTTGTTAGACGAATCATTGTGATGCAGCGGTTGACTGGTCGGAGGGACGGATTCCGTGTGGATCGGTCGAACATTTGATTGGCTAAATGAATGCATACGAATTAGAATTTACGGTTAATGGAGCTTTAACGTGTGCTCAACAATAATTCTATGTTTATTCGAATAACTTACCTATCTATCTTAATTGGTTGTTTTTCGATGTCAGCATTATTCTCATTATTTGTAGGAGCACGTGAAATGAACCCGCCCCAGGCATTATGCGATTTGTCATTTCGATCCACCGATACTGTAAGCGGTGGCGTGTTTTGCCCGGTTTTATTCTTGTTTTTCTTTTCCTCAAACACCTTTCGAATCTTCTCAACAGTTTGTTCAAGTGCTTCTGCATTTGGTTTAGCACGACGGTACAAGTCCATGATTTTGTAGGATATGTCCAGAATATCATTTTCACTGACGTTAAATACACCAAACCACGTGGGATTATTGGGTAACGGTAAGTTGATCTTGCGTGCAGTCAAATAGATACACGCGCAAGCAATCGATTCGGGGTTGTATCGCACAAATACATCCGTACGTAAGGAATCGTTCATGAAATTCCAAGCCATTTGCATGAGACGCTGATTCTGCTCGTATCCAAGCACTTGTAAATACATGACAATGAGCTTGTGGGGATGTTTAATATGCACACAGAATCCAAGCTCCTTTAAAACGCGACGCTCCGCTTTTATTACTTGTGTTTTCAATGCAATGTAAGATGCATCCAAAATCATTGGATGTATAGGTCTGCAATATAATTGAATATAATTAGTAATTTGTTCCAATCAAATCTTAGCTTGGATAAAAAAGTGATGTATGCATAGTAGAAATGTGTAATCACTTACTTTTGACCGCGAACTTGTTTGATATGATGGAATACATTGATTACATCTCTGATCCGACGTGGTGCTTCCTCAATTTTCGAAGCCAAGTATATGCAACACATTGCTGTTGTCTCCATATTATGCCGAAGGTACGATTTTGAGTAGTAGAACCGCTGGAACAATACTTGACCCGTAGCCATGGCCACCTGTGTAATCATACAATACCAATTTATGAGTTATTGCTTTCATCTTTGCTCAACGAGAATCTACATTCATTGTGAAGTTTTAGAATGTTTATAACTTACCTGTGGCAGCTTTAGGAGTATTCCCGAAATTTGAATCAGCTCGCAACCAAGGATTCGCAAATCAGTTTCAGTCTCTTTATCCAAACCATCTTGCTGTGATGGTGTTTCTTGCAATTTATTATCGGATAGTAAACAATTCTCAAGCGTTAATGTAATTTTGCCAAATAAACGCGGTAAGACGCTATTTTGAGTCATTTCCATTGAATGTTTATGCCTTTTCTCTCTACAATTCAATTTTATACATATTATTTGCGTGCAAACGTTTAAGAACTGATATATTGCTAGAGAAATGGTGGCGTGACAGAAAAAAACCCGCACAATGACATTTGCTACAAAAAGTTCTCATTTTCTACACCAGGGTTCGCTACGGAAACTAAATACTCAAATGAAAATCTTTCTTATGATATTTCTTCAATTCATTTTATTTATTTATTTATTTGAAGAAGAAAAAAATGTGTCCCATCACTCCTGTATGTTTTTCAAAATCAAGTAGTTTAAGCGGCGATTCCAATGACGCCACAGCCAATACGACCGCCTGCGTTGCCGGTGGTTTTGCTTAGTTCATGCCCACCCAAACCCAAATCATCAACATCGGCATGTACAACAACCGTACGACCAATGATACTGTTTGGTCCGCTCAACGAAATCTGTGAATCGGTCAAATTGACCTTGGCCAAACCGCTACCGTTTGCTTCAATGTTTCCCAAGTCACCGACATGACGAACTTCTGCATCTGGTGCACCGTGCTCCTTCTTGTATGGGTTGAAGTGGGGTCCCGCTGAGGTGCAACCATTGGTGTTATCGCCAAACTCGTGAACATGGAATCCATGTTTTCCCGGTGCCAAACCGGTGATTTCACCAGTAACAGTTACTGGGCCATCTCCCGACTGCATTCGTATTTTGGAAGAAAGGAACAAAATAGATTGTAGGTCAAACGGAATCAATGCAAGAAATTACATTCGGATCAACATGAAAAAATGTCGCCAAAAATAGAAACATCAAAGAAAAACGAAAAAAAATTGACTCGCAATGAAAATCAATGCATTTCGAACTTTGAACTTACTTGCTCGAAAAATATATTTCCTTTGGCATCACCGGCAACAACGCATACAGCTTTAACCATTTTGAATGTATGTTTTTCTGCTCTTTTTTGGAAAAATTCTTAGATATTTGATATGAAGACCAAAAAAAACTTTGCGGAAGTAATTATTTATGAATACCTTCAACTGAAGTGGTTGGAATGGAATTGACTTCTTATTAAATAGAAAACTACGTCGAAATGACTTTGCTTTTTCACATTAGAACTGATTGTTCTAAATGAAAAAGGGCTGCGTACTTTTACCACCGGTGATAATGAAAATAAATGGCTGTGAGTAATGATAACAATGACGGTTGAACAAACATGAACCAATTTACCTCAAAAAAACTACGAAATATCAACAAAAAAAAAATCGATTGAGAAATAAATTTCAACAAAAATGCTCCAAAGATACCAAATATGTGCGACGTAACCGAGGTTGCTGCATTTGCATTGAGCAGTTTTCAGTTTCAAACAATGTCATCAATCCAAAAAAAATGTTCTAATGCGTATTTAGTTGCTGTTTTCAATAATGTATGGAACAATTGATCAAAATTAAATGTATGTTTTATTTTCATTCCGAAATGTTGATAATTTGTGTTCATATAATGATATCAAAGAGGCCAAAAAGATGATTCATTGAAGAGTCTCGATGACTTTCTCCACTTCTGCCTTGGTGTACATCTGGAACAAATCGTTTGGCTTCATGATCATCACTTCAACATTGGTTGAGCTTAATTTCTCCTCCATCACCTGCTTCAGTGTGCGCAGTGCTAGATTGACCGCTTCGACGATGGTCATATTTTCCGTGAAATTATCCTGGAAAGAACAGAACATATGCCCAAATGATGAAATCCATCTCATACATTTCTAAATATAAACAAAATACGAACCTGTAGGTTTTGTTGGGCTCCCTCACTGCCAGAACCGATTGCTTTTGCATCATAGCGAATGTATGTTCCCGATGGATCCATGTGCCAAAGCTGCGGATCGCCATTTTCAACGCCAGCGAATAGAATAGCCACACCAAACGGCCGACTCATGGCTGAACCACCATCGGCACTGTCACCAAATTGAATGGCTAAGGTTGATACTGCTTGGGCGCATGACTCGACCGACATACGTTCGTTATAGACGAACCAATGATTCTGGCATTCAACACGGGCACGATCAATCAATGTTCTGGAATTAAAAATTGAAATAAATGTGAAAATTCCATTTTCTATCGATAAAT